CCCAAACTCTTTTTAGTGATTCCATGCTTTGATGGTTCTGTGTAAACCCAACATCCTTTAAAAAAAACAACTTTGTACCAAACCAGCTGAATTATTCACTTTTGTGTATAGATGTATTATGATTTTCTTGATAGGTACCGAAAACAACTTTGTACCAAATTTCTAAAAAGTTGTGATATGAAATTTTAAAGGGTTTGTGGCCTTTCCCTTCTATCACCCAATTACATTGCTTTCTTTGTGAAGCTAATTTGGTTTCTCCACCAAGACCTGAAGCTTGACATGAGGCTAGTAAGTACCACAAGTATTAGTAGTTCCAACATAATCTGTTCTCATATGGGTTTTGAATTTGATATTGATCTGTTTCTCTACTTCCTTCAGGGATGATGAAGATATATTCCTCTATTACATCTATGTACCACCAACCCCAAGGTTCCCACTGTTTGTCCATCCTTGTTGCACTTGAATTGTGTACTGCAGATTCCAAACAACATCTTCTATCGATGGTCGCTTCCTATGATCTTCACAAAGACAGTTAATGGCAAACTCTACGGTGGTCCTCAGTGACTCATACGCATATGTTCCCCTCACACTCGGATCTGCTAAGCTACGCAAGACCGATTGTTCGTCTCTCAAACCGTTCTCCAGCTGAAGCTTCAAGCTACCCAACTCTGAAGATGCAGCTGCCATTACTTTTCCTGTGATGATCTGAAGTAGTATCACTCCAAACTGGTACACATCTTCTTTCTCTCCATCTTCATTGCTAGGGCTTTCTGCTCCAACCTGCAAAATCCCCCACAAAAGATGAGATTGAATTAGAGATAAGAAGCTAAGTCTTGGTTATCTCTTGTTTGTGTAACTATACCTTGGATGGTAAAGGAATAGTATAACCACTGAGTTTTACAGTGAGTGTTTCATCAAGTAGAACATTCTCTATCTCCAAATTATTCCCAAAGATTCCTGGTGCCACTCCTGTGTGTAAGAACTGTATTCCTCGAGCGATTCCAATCGCTATCGACATTCTCTGAGGCCATTTCAACACCTCTTTCTTTCTCCCATCTGCCAAAAACATTTCCAAACAATTAGTTTCCCAACAAAAACCGAATCTCTTGAAATCGAAACTCTTTTTTCAGGTATTACCGGTGAGGTAATCCCTCAAAGACCCGTTAGAGATGTATTCTTGGACTATGAAAATGGTGCTGCCGGCGTATGGATGATGATCTTGGTAAGTAACAATGCAGTGTCCAAGAACACTGACCAAGTGCATGTGCCTTAGCTTTGATAAAACTTCCATTTGTTGAGCCAAGTTCTGTGTTGAACTCTTCTGTTTCAGCTTAATACACCTTACTGTCACAGCTATGCCTTCTCTAAGACAGCCTTTGTACAGCTGTTTTGAAATTAGATATATTTATCAATCAGATACTCATATCAAGTTATGATGATGTAATGTTTGCTTTTATTTTACCTGTTCTCCACAGAGATTCGCTGCATCAAAATTGTTGGTTGCTTCTTCCAGTTCCTCCAAAGAGAAAACTCGGTAGGGTGATAGTCCAATCACCGCGGATCTCATGGTTTGCGGTACTCGTCCTACATTTGAAACACTTGAGCTAGTTAGAGATTAATGGTTGGTGAAAACTTGATTCAAGATTTCAAAGTAATAGCCTTTTATTACTTGGATCTGGTACTGTCTTTGATGTGGTGGACCTTGTCGCGGTGCTGCAAACAGAGACCTTATCGATGTTGTTTGCTTCCAAGGGATCTTCTCTTGATCGTGATTTTCGCATCCTAAACAAAACCAAACCAGCCAAAACCGCTGAAACAAGGACCACGCCGATGATAATGCCAATCACCAATCCAAGTTCGATTCCTTTATCTTCTTCTTTCTTTTCATGTTCCTTAGTGTCAGACTTCAAAGTAGCAGACGCTTGCTTTGCTTCGTTTTCGCAGAAAGAAACCGGACGCTGATACTTTGCATAAGGAGAACCATTTATAGACAAGCAATTGAATGTGTAGATCACTGTCAGATTCTTGGAAGAGAAACAAGATGGAAGCTTTCCAGTCAAAAGATTCCGAGAAACATCTAACATTCTGAGCTTGGAGCTGCATAACGATGAATTCGGAAGTGATCCACTCAACAAGTTCTGTGTCAAAGTTAGATTCTGTAGCGAAGGGATAGAAAACAGGAATGTTGGGATCGACCCAATGAACTTATTGGAGGAAAGATCCAAACTTTGAAGCTTATTCAGCTTTTTGATCTGTTCTGGAATCTTGGATCCAAAAGAGTTGTTCTTCAACGAAACAGAGACCAAGTTACTTGCTAGTGAAGGAACAACTTCAGGACCGAGTTTATTACCGCCTAAATTCAGCTCTTGAAGATTCGTCAATCCTCTGAGATCAGGAACACTTCCATAGAACAGATTGTTCAATAGAACAAGACTTGTCAAGTTCTTCAACGACGAGATCTCTTTGGGAATTTTCCCAGAGATGAAATTAGAACTGAGATTCAGAGATTGTAGAGATGAAGATAACCTGATGATCTTTGTAGGGAGAGGACCGGAGATCCCGAGAGAGACAAGAGACAAGGTCTTTAAGCTTGAGAGTTTTGTAAGAACAGTGAAGAGTGAGTCGCTGGAGAATCTTCCGGGAAGCTTAACGGTTCTGTTTCCGGTGACGGTTAATTCGGTTACGTGACCGTTGAAACAGAGGATTTT